AGCTCATCAACACTGTGAATATCTCCTAGAGATTGAATTTTCATTCATGTTAAAAACACATGGGTGTATAGTCATTGTAAAAGATATCACTACACATACAGAACTGTGTAAACTTCGTCAAAGAAGATAGTACAATGAATACTTTATTTCATTACCCAGTCAAGAATGGCCAGCTGTATTCGCATTTCATAGGTATCTGCTCGAGTGAAATGAATACGCTTTGGAGCATAGATTAACATCACTAAGTGTAGTGACTCAATCCAGTATGTATCACGACACTGAAAAAAAAAAGACTTGACATGTACTTTATATAGTTATAATCAACCCCTGCCCTTTCCAGTCACTGTACTAGTCCTACCACAAACCCTGTGTAATGGTACTCTCATGGCCACTGCTGTAAAGAACTAGTGATTAGTGCATGCATCAGTCATTGCTCAATATAGGCAAAAGGATCATTAGATAGGATGATGCTCCATAACTGTTCATAAGAATTTACCAAGGCATAATCCTCTGCATTTATGTAGATTGTTGTGCCCTCGATGGCTTTCCGGTAGGCAACAATAGCTCTTTCACTGACAAGAGGTTTCTTGCTGCAAACATAGCCATCTTCTTGACAGCGAGAGTCTTTATGGCAGTTGTTATGATTTCCCTGCAGAAGTTTAATATAGAGTATAAGCAACAGGTAATATATTTGTGAAATCAACCATTTTCAACACCAAAGTAAACTCTATTATTGTAATAAGCTACCTTGTAATGATCTACAATGTTGGTAATGTAGTTTCTTAATGTGGTGGCATCTTCATTGCAATTTTTCATAGCATAATAAATGTGTGTCTTTGTACATTTCACTGAAAGTACATTATTTCACAAGGTGATAAGAATACACAATAGTATACTTCTCACTATTCTATTTTTAAATGAAAATTCAAGGAAGTAAGGAATCATAAGGTAATCGAAATAATTCAGTATTACCTTTATCAGATAATTCAGCAAACCAAGTCTTCTCAGAATCTCGAACAAGGCCACTAGCCACCTTTTTGATAGCTTTCTTCACACCTTTTCCACCTTCACAAAGAAAATGAGAAAGATAATGGAAACTTGGATCTAGAATTAGTTGCCGATATGCTTTCGTACCATCAAGGATTGCCATGTAATAGTACATACCATGCCAGCTATCATATGAGTTTTTTATTCCCTGGGAACTGGCCCACTGTTTCAAGGCTGGTACATAGTCATGTGCCAGATCACCAACTTGATGACCTGTCCAAAAGAAAGAAGTGGAAGCTAGCAAGCTCATTTAAAGTAAAAATGCTATCCACACAAATAAAGAAAAAAACCAATAAATTTTAAGCTGGCTCACCCAGATTAACTAAGGAATCCACAACTTGTTTGGTCATGGGTACTTCTCGTGATGCGGCCGCACTCAGGTCCTCTTTAGACCAGTTTAAACTGTATATAACCTTTTTGTTACTACAATATTTCAGACACAGGAAGAAACAAGGAAATATCATTATCTACCCACACTAACAACTGTGTGTCGATGGACTACAGTTACCTAAAATAACAATTATGCACATCCACTCTCACACCAGATGAAATTAGTTTACCTGTTAGATAATGCTGAAACAGTTGTATGCTGAGCTGCACGACTAGAATCATGCCTCGCATCAGTGATGATGACCTAAAGTAGTTATATAAATACACCTTGTTGAGAAGACAGAGAATCTCCTATAACCTACAAGAAGACAATGTGCATTGAATAAACTGGTATATTATTACTACAGAACTACTAACATCACCACGTAGTAAATACTGAGGATCTTGCTGTGCCTCTGTTCGCGCTTCCAGCAACTGTCTCTCATAAACAGTTTTTACTGCATTCTTGTATCCCAATGAAGAATGTACTATGACAAATCAAATAATAAAAAAAGTTTAGTATAATTATGATAAAATGTTTCAATTTGCTTTCCAGTTAATACAAGCTCAAAAGAAGCTAGAGGCACAAAAAAGAGAAATTAAATCTATTAGAAAGACATAGAAAGTACTGGTACGACATAAGGCACAATCCAAACAATATCAGACAAGATTTTACATTTGTTGTAGTTATTTTTCTCTTTATCAGGTAGTTTTACTTTTCTTTTTTTTTTTACTTTCGAAATAACTACAAATGACATTTGGGTAAGCAGGTTGTTTATAATATCAACTCAAAATAATGCAGCAAATTGTCTTTAGAGTGAACAACCATGAATTATATTACCAGTGGATATATATTTCTGTTCCACATAGCCAATGCGAGACGCCTTACAGGAATTTATGTATTGGGTCTCTGTTAGACCAGAACAAGTAAAACCATGAACCATCCTAAATAAGCAAGGAAACTCGAGTGAGTATTTGCAATATTCTAAAATAACATGAAATGCAAAAAAGGGAACAAAATATAACTACACGACCTTAGATTAGCTGTAAATTTTCCAGCAACAGTGCTGCTCGAATACCATCGAACATGATGACCAGCGACGCAGGAGATGCTTATTCGTGCGGCATGTCCGTGCTGTTTGACGGTAAATGATTGCATATCTAAAGTAAAGCCACACAGTGGACAACTCCCGTCGTAACGAGCCAGAGTGGCCACAAGATGCTGTAAGGCGTCATGAGAAGCAACAAAGTAGTCTTCCACCGGTTTACTGGGTGTGTGAATGTCAAAACAGCCAGTAGTATTTTCCCCACTAGCCAACACATAAGGAGGAAGAATATCTGTTTGAATCCCAACGTCGCAAGTTTTTGTTGTGTTGTCGGACTTGTATACCTGCCAACTCTCACGCCTTAGGCGTGAGTCTCACGCCTGTGGGTTGAAAACTTCGATCTCACGCCCGCTCACGCCTGCGGACCAATTTCTCACGCCTGATTGAAAAATGTGAGTTGTTGCCGTCTTGCTTGACACAATTTCCAAAAATATGTTAACTCAGACCAATGTAAGGAACGAAAACCATGTGTAAAATGAATAAATGACAATACCTTCCTCGCGATCTCTGATTTTGTGGATAAGCGTTTTCTCGATAACTTCGCCTTCGGCAGACTTCGGACGTCTTCGGAAGACTTCGGACTTCTTCGGAAATCTTCGGAAATGATCGTGTCGTTTTCAAAAATCCCAGCACTCCCAGGATAAAAATCTCACGCCTACATCTCAGAAAAAGTTGGCAGGTATAGACTTGTCGCATGGGATCTGACTCGGCAAAGAAAATAAAGGGGTCTGACTGGCCATGCCTCTTTGCTCAGAATCGAGAAAAGCCTGTAGTAATTTCTCCATCATTAACAGATTACCCATCGGAGTCCGGCTGTTTATATGAAGGACACTTCTGACGTGCTGGAGTTGAGATTTGACGCGTTGCAAACGGCCTTCACTTTCAGCCTCCACTTCCAGTTGGATACTGTGCCTAATCCTCGCTCGACGATCCATTAGTTTGGCTTTTTTTGCTGTAAAATCGGCCATGGCGAAACGAAAAACTTACAAAAGAAGCGACGAAGTATAAGCAATTGCGAATCGAGCAAAGTATTTCGATTCAAGGAGGAGGACGAGCGATAGTAACATACCGTACCTTCCGCACCGTCATCCGCCATGAATCGAAAATATGCTCTAAGATGATGAGTAAACGATCAAAATAAGCCTTTGAGCATGACTAAACTAGAAAAACCTCATTTTAGAGGACTGAAGGCTCAGTGAAATAAAAAAACCAGCGCGAGGAGCCTAGGTTAGGAGTCGAACTCGCACGATTGGAGGAACGGTTGTGGGCGCCAAATTCAAATTTTCAAGGTCGGAAAATACACCAATTTCTTGCATTCGAAAAGAAATAACGTAAGAAAGGGGTTTACCCAACTTTATTAGGCTAAATTTAGTGAATGTGGCTGGGAATAAGGGGCGGACATCACACATGATATCTGGGAACAATATCACTGCCTTCCCTTCTCCTTGCTCACATAGTCCGCCATATTGATTAAAGTCTTGCAAGCAGCAGTTGCGCGACAAAGAGGGGGAGGAGCTATCCCTTTTATAGGCAGTGTCCTTGTTTAAGGTCTGGATGAGTGGTTCCTCCCCGTCACCTTAAGGTCTGGTAAGAATCCTCCCCCCCGCCCCACCCCTCTTATCTGAAGGTTCCGATCTGCCACTGTAGGCTCCAGGGCCTATATCAGAGCATATACAGAGACACTACACTAATACAATCTTCAAGACCGTTTTTTTTTTAGAAACTTGAGCATATGCCTGCCTGCGCTTGTAATAGTGATCACCAAGCTACAAGAAGTATGACCTGAAGTAAATTATCTGTCTTTTACTTTTGTTAACGCTTGGAATGAACTAACCCATAAAATTAGTATATAGATTTAGCCAGGGCTAAAAGCGAAGCTCTGGTTAATAATACTTGTAAACAAAAATTTAATCGCGTAATGCTAAACGGGAGGGCAATGAAAATGACATCAAGATCAATAGATCTAATTAGCAAAAAAAACAAATTGCACGTCCAGCAGACTTTTTTTTCTAATTAGCCAAAAAAAAAAATTTGCACGGGCAGCACGCTTTTTCTCTTTCTTTGCCGTTGTTTTGCACAACTACAACGCTGTTTTGTAGGACTAAAACGTCAAACCTCCTAGTTACACATTATTTTTGTGGAGGAATTGTCGTATGTGCTTACCCAGTGTTTTGTCTCCTGTGTTCATGTTCGCTTTTATTTTTCACTGCCGCTCATTTTTCGCTTGCTTGCCGCTAGCATTTCTCATTGTCTCACAGCCGCTTTGAATTTTCATGTTTTTCTTCCTACAAAATTCGTCTCTTTTGTTTTCAGTCACTCGCTCTAGCTCTTTCCCTGTTATCCACGTGAGGGTAAACATCAAAAATAACGTCGAAAAAGACACGACTTTGTTGTTGTTTTTTCTTTCTAAAAGTCTGGGCGGCCATGCGATTTCTTTCCAAATAAAACCTTGAGCTCATTTGGGTTGCCATACCTGTTGATTGAATTATTTTACATTAGTATGTCTGTGGTGCGGACGGACGGTCGGGCGGGCGGGCGGTCGGTGCACGGTCACGTGATTACCAAATTTTCTCGGATGGGTATTTTACCACATTCTTTTACCCATGGTGCTCCGCAGCGCGCTTCGCGCGCGAGAGCTCCGCTACAAGATGGTTAACTGACCTTAACTGTATTTGTAGCCTCTTTGTAAACGTAACAATCATGTTTATATTGGGAAGTTCAGTAATAATAATCCAGATGACCAAAACTTTCATATTTTGGCCATTCTTATTCTGAAGTATCCACCTTATTCTGAGCTATCCGAACAGATACTTTGCTATGAATAAGCTTTACACGGCAGTCGTGGTACTGTAATTAAACAGACATTGTTTGCTCCTTGCACTAAATTCTTACAAAAAGAACGTGAAAAAATAACTAACTTCCATGTAGGCTTCGATCCATATTTTGGAGTAACCATTCTCATCTTGGCCTTTTTCAGTCTTTGTATACTTATCTCTTATTATATACTTATTTCTTTGAACACAACAAGGTCGTAAAGAGTCGGAGCGATTTGCCGAAAAACAATTTTATTCAGTTCCAGTCTCTGAGCGGATACCTGGTTTTGGAGTATCCATTCTAGTCACGACCGTTTTAAATTGGACAAACAAACATGGCTGCGAAAAAGCAATGGTACACAGAAAACGATTTCTCAAAATCAACTCATTGAAATTTTCTGATATTTTACTTTTATTCTACTTTAAATAACGAGAACTTTCAAATGGAAGTTGAACAAAGGAATTTTGTCAAACATTTAATAATTACAGTGTAATTATATTATTGATTATCCAAAAACACATCTGTTAAAATTTGGTCAAATAAGTTTCAAATGGTGATGATTAATTGTAGTAAGCTGTGCGCAAGGTTATAGGAAAATCTGAAGAACGAATTTTATATAAACTGAGCAAAAGTGAAATTTTACAATTGTATTTAATCACCCGTGTTGCCATGGAGACTACGAAAAAATTAAATTTTACCTGTCAATCAAAATCTTTCAGCAGTATATTTTTCACTTGCCAAGTTTCAGCTTCTGAGCTGCAACCTTTCTCTTGCCATTATTTGGCAAAATACATATACTCATGATCACAAACTGCCAAACCTGTGTTCAGCCACCTTAACTACAACCTGCGTAGCAGGCGCTTGGAAGTAATGGGCTCAAGAAACAACGGGGCGCCGGAGGGAAACACGCCATTTACTCTCCCCTCAAGTGTCTCTTTCGCGCGCCTATTTCTCTCCTGCGACGTTACTTCCAAGCGCCTGCTACGCAGGCTACTTTATTTATAACTATATATAATTAACCTTTGGTCGCAATTTATCGGCCATTGGCAGCCTTGTATTCATCATCAATAGGAGACCAGCTCAATCCCAACTATAAACGCTTACTGTCTAAAACAGTAGTGGTAGTGGTAGTGAATTATTTTGGTAAAAGTACGTTCCTTAAATGAAAATATATATTAAATACAGCTTTTAATTTCCTTGCGCTGACACGGAAAGTTGTCCGGTATATTGTGAAGACTGTGAACACCCCCGCTATCCGATATGTAACTCACTCTCCACTCTAGGGATCAGCGCGGCGCAGTTTCGCTTCGTTAAGGAAATCGCGCCCAAAAGAAATCACTGTTCTCATGTTTAAACAGAAGCCCTAGCTATCCCGTATGGTTTTCGCGCCGGCGCAAAAGCTATCCGGTATTAATAGTAATGTGGACATAAAAGCCAAACTTACACCGTCTGCCGGACAAGTAGAATCCGATGCAGTAACTGCCTTGCGAGCAAATGCCTGTGAGTTTATGTCCTTTGGCCACTCGATACCATATATAGCCATTTCAAAACCAACTTCACGGCACTTAAGAGACTGTTCCATGCTGATGCGCATGCTAACCATGTGGAGTTGTTTCCTACCGCATCTCGCTGGATGATTACTTGTTTGGCTGCGGTTGGATGTTTTCATGACTTGTTGATCATAATCGAAGAGTCAGCTTGTGGTTGGTTTGCATCAACAATGTCCATTTGTTCCTCGTCCATTTCCGTCTGTAGAAAAGAGAGAAAAACCGTCGTTGACTTATATTTGCCTAAAAAACAGCCTACCTTTTGCATTTCCCCTCGAAATATGATGTCCGTCTCGGAACGAACGCTAATATTCTATCAAAACGGAAGGTCCCTTGCAACTTTTTTAAAAGGCGTCGTTCGGCGTTGTGAAACACTGGAAACGTTGGCTTTTGTTTTTATATTGCATTTCTTTACTTTGTTATAAATTTACTTCATTTGTAAACGTTTTTCCAGGCAAATAGGCTGTTGTAAAACTGCTGATTTTGTTAACGGAGACAAGCAAGCAAGCAAACATGTTTTGTCACGGAGACAAGCATATAAATCGACGACAGGTGGATTTTGATTAAAGCGCTCTTGCTTCCAAAGCCTTCAACAACAGTAAAGCGTCGATGGAACGGTTCTTCAGCGACGTTGATTCCTGCATTTGTTTGAAGGCAATAAAAAGCGCATAAATATTTTAAATTCATTTCAACCACTCAAATGCGGCTGATTGGTATAAACCGTGTGAAAGTGTGTGCTAATACTTAAATTGAGCCTTAAAATCCCACGGCTACAACTAGATTACAACAAAGCTATTTAAAAGCTTTGAAAAGTGCTTTAAACTTTGTGGAAACAAATGTCTGAACTTGACGTCGTAAGTAACTTCGATTGCGCGCGCCAGAATCGCCTCCGATCCTTAGAAACAAGTAACCAAGGAAACAAAATCATTCAAACAAATAACAATTCAGTTTCAACTGGTTGAGGCCAAGAAGAGAAAATTTCACGACAACCAGATAAATTCAATCCTAAACAAATTTAAGGAGCACTAACATTTTCGAATGAAAAGTTGGCGCAGTAGTTTGATAACTTGAAGGCAAAAGCAAAGTTAGGCTGGGAAAATGAGGATTTTCGCGCGTGCCCTGTACTTTTGCTACAAGCTTAAGCCACCGAGGAAAATAACGCGAAGAGAACAGTCGCGAAAATAACACAAGTTTTACCTTCCTCGCTGAAATTTCCCGAAGCAGTCGAAGTTCCTAACATTATTATAGGAGGTAGATTAAAATCATTCATTTTGGCAACATGACTTTTCTCTTTCCAAAGCGCAACACGACTAAACTTGTTTAGCGACGTGGAACGATAAAAAACAGGACGTCATAAAGACAAAATAGAATGATTTCCTGCGCGCGTTAAGTTTATGTAACACTTCTTTATCCTCCTATATATTGCATTACATTGACATCCATTGCAACTGTTCATTTTGTTGACAATTCAGAGTAGACAGACTGCAAATTATAGTAGTTGCTATATCTACGTGTCCCAACTGTTCATCAGTAGGATGCCTAAAATGCGTGCAATTCCACAATTGGTTTCGGCTAACAATAACAATGACACGTGAAACGTTACTCTA